GGGCGGAGGGCGGCAGCCTGCTCCGGCACGGACCTGGGCGAGCTCCGGGTTGCCGCTGGATGCCGTTTCACCCCACGAACCTGCCAGTGGGAGCCCGGGCTCCCTCTCCATACTGAATATAAGTGTAATGTAGCAATGTACAGTGCATTAGAAAGTGTAATATGACCTTGTTTACTAAAGCTGCATATTTTTGATATATTGTAATAAAAGGAAAATATTTCCAATGTCACAGTGCTCTTATGTAAATGTAAAACATACAGGTACTGCAGAACTCGCCCAAAGTGTACAGTCATCCGCCAGACTCCGTCTGCTCCTCGCTTTCATGGCACCCTGCCCCGGCCCCCCGGTGGGCGGCTTGGAGGGCCGTCAGGGCAGAGCCGCTCTCCCCTGCCTGCGTGGAAGGGGCGGCCCTGTTCCGGAGGGGCTGTGGTCCCAGCTCACCTCAGAAGATTATTGAGCCATTTGGAACGAGCCGGTCTCTCGCCTCCCTGGCAGTCTCAGCTGCTGGACATGGTAGGATGGCTTTTTTTCCTCCTGAGCTTTCTTGCGACCGAGTAAATCCCCGAGGGATGTAAGGGTCAGTGCCAGCTCTTGGGGCTGGGGGCTTCCCGCAGTGCGAGGACTGGCTCGGAGCTGGGGCGGCAGGCTGGGTGCTCGCATCCCACAGCCCGTGTGCTCGTGTCCGTCCCCCCCTGCCGTGTGCCCCTGGAGAAGGGTTCGCTTCCCTGGAGCGTGCTGCAGTTCCGCACGGCTGGCACCCGTGTGCCCAGCGCAGACGTGCCCAGGCTCCTGGTGCCAAGCTCTGGCTTTGGTCAGGGGACTCTTTTTAGGAGAAATGTAATAGGAGAGGGAACTGATTAGACACTAAGGCTGAGGACAAAAAATGTCTTTTTATGAGTCCTGTGTCTTTTGTCGGCTTCTGTGTCTCAGGGGAGGCAGCACGAGGGCACTGCAGCCCGCTGCGGAGAGCAAGGAGGGTTGTTGATGCCAGTTTGTGGGGCTCGTGTAGGGCCAGGTCACCCAGCGGGGCAGCCGGCACCCTGGGAAGCCTCCTGAGCTTACTCGGACGCAAGAAAGCTGGGGGCTGCACCGGTGCTCCCACCACCCTGCCCTTGCCCACCCCCCATCCCCCAGCCCGGGCCCTGCCCTGCTCTGGCGCAGCCGTGGCTCTGCGCCGGCTCCTTCGGAGATCAGCCCTCGCCCGCTCGCAGAAACCGGGGCAGCCCCCGAAGCCGGGGGGCTTCCACGTCGGCGCTCGCCCCGCCTGGCGCCGCTCTCGGTCACGGCAGCATGTTGGAGCTGCTGGGGATCCTGTGGCACCGCACCGGGATGTGACTCAGCCTGTTGTATATGTCACCGAGTGCCTTTAAAACACGGTTCTGTGACTAGCCTATACCCTATGTGAAGTCCAACAAAATCCGCAATCGTTTTCAGCCCAGGAACAGCGTTATGAGCGTTTTTCCTCCCTTTTTTTTAAGTTCTGATGGTGTTGTGTCTGGTGAGATTGTTAACATGCCCGGGATTTCCGTCTCCCCCTTTTTTTCTCAGGGGGTCCCCTGTAAATATGTACAGCGGCCGCGCAGCCCCGGCGACATCTCCTCTGCGTTCTCATGTGCTGACTTGTACAATGATCTTTTCAAAGGTACTTGGATAAAATGAAATAAAACCCCACGTCCCACTGCCTGCTGCTTTCTTCCTTCCCCGCGGAGCAGATGCCCGCGCACCCG